AGTCTAGTACAGAGAACTGTAAACTATAGCTTTCAGTTCAAATCCAGCTCACTGTTTTCGTAAATAAAGTTTTATTAGAACACAAACACACAAAGAAAATATGAACAAAGCCTTCAAGAAATCTAGAATTATGTTAAATGACCAAACCTCAGAACAATTAGCATTCCTGAGGAAGAAGAGAAAGCGAAAAGCTTGGAAAATATATTTTGGGGAATAATCAAGGAAAACTTTCCCAGACTTGCTAGAGACCTAGACACCAAATACAAGAAGCTCAAAGAACACCTGGAAAATTAATCACAAAAAGGCCATCACCTCGGCACAGTGTCATCAGGTTACCTGGAGTTAAATTGAAGAAAAGAGTCTTGAGAGCTGTGAGGCAAAAACACCAGGTAACCTGTCGAGGAAAAACCCATCAGATTAACAGCAGATTTCTCAGCAGAACCCCTACAAGCCAAAAGAGATTGAGGCCCTATCTTCAGCCTCCTCAAACAAAACAATTATCAGCCAAAAATGTTGTATTCAGTGAAACTAAACTTCATATATGAAGGAAAGATACAATCTTTTTTAGGCAAACAAATAATAAGAAAATTCACCACTATCAAGATAGCACTACAAGAAGTTCTGGAAACACATCAAAACACAACCTCTTTAAAGCATAAATCTCATAGGACCTATAAAACAAAAATATAATAATTAAAAAAACAGAAAATTAAAAACCCAAGGTATGCAAGCAACAAATAGCACAAAGAATTCAACTCTCACCGTTCAACTATCTGCTGCCTTCAAGAGATGTGCCTAACACATAAGGACTCACATAAACTTAAGGTAAAATGGTGGAAAAAGACACTCCAAGCAAATGGACACCAAAAGTAACAGGAGTAGCTATTCTTACATCAGTCAAAGTAAACTTTAAAGCAACAGTGGATAAAAAGACAAGAGGTCATCATATAATGATAAGAGGCCTTGTCCAACAGGAAAATGTTACAATCCTACAGAAACATGCACCTAACACTGGAGCTCCCACATTTATGAAACAATTACTAATACAACTGAGAAATGAGATAGACAGCAACACGATAACAGAGGGGGACTTCAATACTCCACTGACAGCACTAGACAGTCACCAAGACAGAAAGTCAGCAAAGGAACCATGGATTTAAACCATACCCTGGAACAAATGGACTTGACAGATACTTACAGAACATTCTACCCAACAACCACAGAATATACATTCTATTCAACACCACATGAAACTTTCTCCAAGACAGACCATATGTTAGTTCTCAAAACGAGCCTCAATACTACAGGCGTGTGTCATCATGCCCGCTAATTTTTTGTAATTTTAGTAGAGACAGGGTTTCACCATGTTAGCCAGGATGGTCTTGATCTCCTGGCCTCGTGATCCACCTGCCTCGGCCTCCCAAAGTGCTGGGATTACAAGCGTGAGCTACCGCACCCAGCCAACAAAATGTTTACTTTATTTTAAAATCAGAAGAAAATAATAAATATTTAGGCCAAAGAAAAAGTTTTAACCCACGTTAACATATTAATCTTTATATGAACACAGCCATCCATGTAACTTTGAATACTGTGGATGGAGGCAGGTGTGTGGGGCTCACCCCAACCCTCACGTGGCCCTGGATGTCAGCAGATGTCTGGGATGATGGTCTGGCTGGAGGCCCCTGACCTCTCCCATGGTGTGCGTGGCCCTGAAGGGCTGGGCTTTTCCTGGGCTCCTTATCTGGCCTCAGTGTCACCCAGGTCCTTCCTACCCAGGTAGTGGCCCCCACTGTCCCTCCTGTCTTGACAAACACAACTTCCCCTAATAGCAGCTGCAGACTTGCAAGAACAAGTCCTCCTTCTTCCCAGGCTGCTTTTCACCTGCTCTTCCCCAAACCAGCTAAACTCCAGGGCAGCCCCAAAGGCGGAATCCCCATGAAGACGGTTCTTCCAGCGCAGCTCCCCATCCAACGTGCTCCCTCATTGCTGAGTGTCCCTAATCACCCCCATCCCTCTCAGGCTTCCAGCAAAACAGCAGTAACAATGCAAATTCACCTAATTCCTTCTCCAAGCCTCATTTTGCAAATGCGATCTCATTTAATTTTAACTGCTACATTATTAGGTGGGAAAAATACTCTTTATACATACAACAAACCTATACACACGCAGCTAATAAGTTACAAGGCAAGCCTGGAACCCAAGACCTGATAGAGAATAGGTGATAGTCTCCACTGCTTCTCCAAGCTGCATAACGCGGTCATTTTTGCAGAGATTCTGCTTTGGAGCCACTTAGCTGGGAATGAGGCCTCTGCTTGGCAGACTGTTCATTGCTGGAGATACACATACCTCTGCAATGTTAACTGATGAGACCTCTGGGTTTCTGGGTGGTCAAGAAGGAACACTAGGGCTGGGCATAGTGATTCACACCTGTAATCCCAGCACTCTGGGAGGCAGAGGCGAGTGGATCACGAGGTCAGGAGATCGAGACCAGCCTAGCCAACACAGTGAAACACAGTCTCTAATAAAAATAAAAAAATTAGTCGGGCGTGGTAGGGCCCACCTGTAATCCCAGCTACTCAGGAGGCTGAGGCAGGAGAATCACTTAAATCTGGGAGGTGGAGGTTACAGTGGGCTGAAATTGCACCACTGCATTCCAGCCTGGGCAACAGAGTGAGACTCCATCTCAAAAAAAAAAAAAAGAATGAACTCCAGATCAGAGGTAAATGCAGTGGGGGCCACTTTGGGGATGTCTGGGGAGGAGGCTCCTCTGAGAAGAGCAAGGGACCCTCAGTCGTCTAGGGTCTGGGCCCCAGCATGTGAGAGAGAGTGACCTCCTCCCAGGGACAGAGGCTGGACCTGGCTGAAATTCAGTTTCTGATTGACACAGTTTTTATGGTGCTCCTTTCCCCATTTCCCCCTAAAATTATTCCTTTGGGGGTATTTTGTTTAGATGCCTTGTTTTTGCCCATTGGTACCCTCTGCAGATGCCCAGAATTATGTGACTGCTGGTTCCTGTAGCTGTCCTGACCATCAGGTAAAGGTCTTCCAGGGACCAGCCTGTCTTCCTTCTCAGCCTGCCCAGTACATATCATAGCATGGCCCAGAATAATTGCCAGTGAAAATTTATTGAATGAATCTTAGAGGACATGAGCCTGAAACCATCTGTGCTCCTAAGTAGAAAATGTCCCTTGTTACCTTCAAGGCTGGTTTCCAGAGAGAAGTAATTAAAATCCTACCTGTTGTCCTTTCCTTTCTGGTAAGAGTGAACATTTGTGCAACATTAATGGAGAGTATGTCTGCAATCTCTATCAAACTCCCCCCTGCACCTCTACTGTGACTTAGCAATCTTACCCTAGGTCATCCGGTGTGCACACATGCGCAAAGTCTGAGGGTCAGGTGTGCTCTCTGCTTCATTATTTGTGACAGGATAAAAACAGCAGCCAAGCAGAAAGCAACTCATGCTCATTAATAAGAGAAGTGGTTAGATAGATTATAATGCACACACAAATGGAATAGTAGGAAATTATAAATGATTGCATTTCTGTTCACTTCATGTTATGCAGACATGTATAAGAACCATTGCTAAGTGGGACACACATAAGAACCACTGCTAAGTGGGACACACATAAGAACCATTGCTAAGTGGGACACACATAAGAACCATTGCTAAGTGGGACACGCGTAAGAACCATTGCTAAGTGGGACACGCGTATGAACCATTGCTAAGTGGGACACACATAAGAACCATTGCTAAGTGGGACACACATAAGAACCATTGCTAAGTGGGACACACATAAGAACCATTGCTAAGTGGGACACACATAAGAACCATTGCTAAGTGGGACACGAATAAGAACCATTGCTAAGTGGGACACGAATAAGAACCATTGCTAAGTGAGACATGCATAAGAACCATGGCTAAGTGGGGCACGTGTAAGAACCATTGCTAAGTGGGACACGAATAAGAACCATTGCTAAGTGAGACACGTGTAAGAACCATTGCTAGTGGGACACACATAAGAACCATTGCTAAGTGGGACACGAATAAGAACCATTGCTAAGTGAGACACGTGTAAGAACCATTGCTAGTGGGACACACATAAGAACCATTGCTAAGTGGGACACGAGTAAGAACCATTGCTAAGTGAGACACGAGTAAGAACCATTGCTAAGTGAGACACGTGTAAGAACCATTGCTAGTGGGACACACATAAGAACCATTGCTAAGTGGGACACGAATAAGAACCATTGCTAAGTGGGACATGCGTATGAACCATGGCTAAGTGGGACACGCGTATGAACCATGGCTAAGTGAGACACACATACGAACCATTGCTAAGTGGAACAGGCACTGAGCATGCACATGGTGTGACACAGAGGATGTGAAAAAGCGCAGGCACATATGGGATCATATGCTCTAAATACACACACACCCACAAGCCATCATATGTGCCATATACACACACGCCCACACATTATTATAAATGCATTAAACACACATGGTCACACACTATCTTATGATATATACACACATGCCCACACACCATCTTATATGCCATATACACACGTGCCCACACACTACCATATATGCCATATACACACGAGCCCACATAGTATCATATATGCCATATACACATGTGCCCACAATCATATGCTGTAGACACATGTGCCCACAGGCTGTCATATGTGCCATATACACACGTGCCCACACACTACCATATGTCATATACACATGTGCCCACATACTATGTTATATGCTATGTACACACGTGCCCACACAATGCCATATATGCTGTATACACATCTGCCCACACACTATCATAAATGACATATATGTGTGCTCAGATAATTTCCAGTGGGATTCACAGGACATTCACACTGTTACCCCAGGGAATAGGACAAAAGAAACAGACTTTCACGTTTTATTTTATACTATTCTGTTGACATTTTAAATAGCACTTAGTTTTGTGACAAATGTAAAAACGTTTTCTAAAACTTACCTGTATGGGGAAACATGGGTTTTGGTTCTCACAAGTCACCTGGCAGTCAGCCCCTCCCTCGAAGGCAGCCTTGCTGGTGCTCTGCGGTGTGAATGCAATGTCATGGTCGATATATTGTCCCCATGCTATCAGGAGGTCGGAATAGTGGTCATCGTCTGTGACAACCTCGTTTGAAACTTGAATGACCTGTCTTGTCACCTCCCGGACCTGGGTGGGAAGAGAGCATGGGTCAGGACCTAGGAGGGCCCCACTGTAGCAGAAAGATGACCCTTTGGGATCATGCGCTTTCTGGTGTGTTTCTTGTCCACAGAACTGCAGGTGCTCCTAGGAGAGCTGTGCTCTGGAGTGAGGGCGGGAGGAGCATGAACTTTGAAGACAGATGCCCCTGGGCTCGAATCCCTGCCAATTTGTGGTGGCTTGAGGGCCTGGCATTCACTTCCCTCGTTTCCTCATCTGTAAATTAATATGGAAACGTTGAGCTTTCCGGGTTGTTGTGAGGTTAAGCGAAGAGTCATTTACAAAACAGCCAGGCTTTGGGACCTGAGGGAGTTTGCCTGGTTGGATTTCCACATGGGGCGGGAGCTGGGACTCCCTTTCCCTTCTCCACCCACACATCTGTTGCTGTTATGTTTGAGGCCATTCTGCCAGGGCATCTGGAGAGCAGACTGGCTTCCCCGTCTCACAGGTTAGGTCCAGGTGGAGAGGACTCTGTTCTGCATGGATCTTACCCTGAGCCTCTCCTATCTGATGTGGATGATTTCCATGACGAGATTTGGATTGGGTTTTGGACCTAGACTTGGTGCTATAATGGGATGGGATTTGGGGGAGTCTTGGGATGAAGCGAGCTTGTTACGCCTGTGGACTAGGCATGAATCTTGGAGGTCCGTGGGTCAGAAAAACGCCTCCCACCATCCACTCGCTAATCCTTGGCACCTGCAGATGCAATTACATTAAGGGCCTTGAGACGAGGAGACTGTCCTGGGTCTCCATGAGTGTCCAATCTAGTCACGTGGGTCCTTAAAGTTGGGGCCCTCTCCTGACCACAGGTGGAGATGTGACTGAACAAAGGCACAGAGACAGACAACGTTGCTGGCTTTGAAGGGGGGCCATGAGCCAGGGGATGTGGGCACTTCCAGAAGCTGGAAATCTCCAGGAAAGGGATTCTCCCCTGAAGGCGCCAGAAGGAACCAGCCTTGTGACACCTTGATTTGAGCCCAGTCAGACACGAGACACTGATCCCGAAACTGGAAGAGGATGTGAGGTTGGTTTCAGCCACTAAAGTTGGAGTAATTTCTCAGAGCTCAGTAGGAAACCAACACGATTTATATATATTTAAGGACTTGAACTCTGATTTTTCTCAGTAGTGAAATAATTTCTTAGCAAACATGGTTTATAGAATGAGTCTTATAATACCAAGAGTTCAAAAGCCTCAGGGGTTGGGCTGCTCTCCTGTTGAGCCTGGGGTGGGTAAGACAGTGTTATCCCATTTTAGGGATAGTCCAAGTGAGTCCAAGAAGGCAAGTAACTCACTCACAGAAAAGTCCGTGCGAGCAGAGCGTGAGCCCAGTGAACCCAGTCCCCTCGGCCCTGCTGCTGGGAGCACCAAGCCGCCCTCAGCGACTCAGCCTCCAGCTCTTTCCAGGGCTGCTCACAGCTTCTGGGAACACTGAGTCCTATTCCGATGCTGGCTTTCATAGACCTCTGTGCTGGTGTGTCTGTCCACGGCTGGTCTGAGTCAGACCTGAGTCCTACCGCCTGCACTCTTTGGGCTGAACAGAACATCCACTGCAGTATTTCTGGATAATTTCATCACTGAACATGCACAAGAGCAAACAGACTGAACTGAATAGTTAAATTGCAAGGAAAATGACCCATTTTCTGACCGAAGAGACCAGTCGATTCTGCTAGGCTCCGACTGCTGGGAGCAAGGTGATTATCTTCACATAAATGAGTCTATTGACGAACAGATAATCATCTTTGGGTGTACCTAGCCCACGGGACGAATAAAGGCACTTACGTGAAAGCACTGAAGTGATTTTCAGGAGACAAATGTGAGGGTTGAGGAAACCTAATTTAAATCTGCCAGGCTCCACTCACTAAGAGATTTCAGTCTCCCTCAGCCTTGGCTCCTAAGCCACAGGGCAGAGACAGCGACCCCTAGGTCAAAGGGAGGCTCCCTGGGGTGCAGTTCCTGGGGGGATCTGAAGGAAATGCACGTGACACCCAGCACGAGCCAGAGCCCAGCAAGAGGCTACTTCCCTCCCTCAGCATCACAGAACCCAGTCTTAGTCCAGGGTGGCAGCATCCGAGTACCCACCGGGGGCAAGGGGAACCCGTTGTGTAGGAAGCCAGGGTTCCAGCCTCGGGGCTGACTGAAGCCGTCCTCGTAGACTGGGGGGAGCCATCGAGCCAGGGCTGTGTTGGAGGCTCCCCATCTGGGGTGGTCTCTGCAGAGACAAACACATGGATGTGTTTAGATGGGGGAGCAGAACACACAAGCAGTGAGTCCCAGATACAAGGTGCCATTCTCAGGGAGAGTAAGTGGGGTCTCTCAGGAGGCCCAAGGGGCACAGCTCCCCAGAAGACCCGAAAGGCTTCCTGGAGGCCCAGGTCATGGCCGGCTTCAAGGGAGCTCATCCCAGAGCCTCGGTCCCCGCAGGCACCCACTCCTGGGCTGGGCACATGCTGCCTGCGGTGGCCGTCTGCAGGGTGGCTCCCCACTCCCTTTCAGGAAAGTTTCCCCTACTGTTTTCCCAAGGATGGTCTCCCACCCTTCTAGAATGTACCAGGGGCCGTTCTCTGGAGGACAGAAGCTTCTGGCACTCCAAACAAAGAGGTCTTTTGAAATCCTTTGGCAAAGCCCCGTGAAGCCACCACATATCCCGCCTGTGCTGGCCCTGTGCAAGCATCCAGACGAAGTTGCCGGAACTGAGGAATCGCTGGAGTTTTCTGACTTCAGAAGCGAGATGGTTGTCAAAGGAATCATCAATACATGAATTTGAAATGAAAATAGTAAAATAAGTTAAAAATGCAGTTGAGTCTCTCCTGAGAGAGAGAGAGAAAGCTGTAGTGGGCTGTTTGGTCTGGCGACAAGAATGGATTCAGCCAACAGGGTTTCCCATGTCGGTTTCCCATGAGTCGGCTCATCTGCTTTCATCCTGGTGGTCAAAATATATTCTGGCAAAAATGTATTTGATACATTATAAGGTAAAGGTGTGTTGGATATTTTGATTTCACACCTACTCACGAGTGTGCTGTGTTAAGCAAGGTTCCCCTCCGTGGAAGGGGTTCAGGCACAATTGACAGTCCCTTGATACGTCTTGGAGCATTTTCTAGAAATTGAGAAAATTAAAGACTAAAACTTGGTAACTAATCCTTGTACAAACCAGGTATTTTCCAATATTTTGTTTAAAAATCTGGAGGACACTCTTATTGAATTGTTTGCCGATACATGAATGAAAATAATTTGAATGATAGCTCATTATCTGTTCATTCTCTTCTGTATCTCAGAAGGGGTTCTGAGGGCCAGATGGCATTCCCGTGACAAAGCTTTTCCCAGCGACCACTCACAGGTTTCTAGGCACCTTCTGTCTGCAAAGGTAAAAGTCACCACAGGGTTTTTGAGATGCTCTCTCATCTACAGCAGGTAGGGCAGCCTTATAATTCCAAACCCAAGTGGGATGCTCTTGAGGAGACAGGAGCACTAGATAGTAATAATTTTGCTGGCAGAGAAGGCACAAAAAGAAAAAATCTCAGGTAACAAGGATGCACGGCCCCTTGGCCAACAGGTGATGGTCACAGACTGATGAAGGAACTAACTGAAACTCCACCCATCTCATCAATAAACTAATTCCAATTAACTTTTATCTCTATGCATAAAAATTATCAACATTCGTCATATATCCATGCTGATTAAACAGTGTTCCAACAACGTGTAAAAAATAACTCAATCTTGAAGAAAACAATGAACACTGAGACCCCTGTGCTCACTGAAGAGTCTAAATATGAAATTTAAATTTATGATATAAAAACGTAACATACAAAATAAAAAATTCAAATATATACATGCAGGATAAGACTATATGAAGGTGAACATGTAAACGAATGTACCAAATATGTAGCATGAACACAAGTACCTGTAGAGCATATGTAAAGAAATAGGTGAAAAATATTAAAAATTAAGGACTTTGAAGGATAAAATGTTTTACATTTAGAAGCAAACGGCTCAATTTGCAAGGAATAAATAATTCTGCATTTGGAAGAAAATATGAGGGAATTAGAATATAAACGATCAATTCAAAGAGCAAAAGAAATAGAATTTTTTGTTGTAATACAGGAGGCTCCTTTGTTACAGTTTGGTTTGGTCTAATGTGGTCATGACATCAGGGTTCCACCGGCATCTGCCGGTCAAGGCTCTGTGGAAATAACCAGCTCTGGGGTTCTGCGTGTGGCGACCGCACGTGAAGTCTGCAGAGGCTGAGGGTGCATCACAGCAGCTGGCACTGGAAGGCTTTGCAAGGCAGACAAAAGCGTCGGGCGTGATTAGGATGTAGGCTTGGAAAATCCCTTCATGAATCCGCTGTGTACACACTCAGACCATACAAGGAGCGGAGTCTGCAAGAATCATGACAAGATAAGTAACTTTTTAAACCTTTGGCCTGCTTGGGAATATGAATATTCAAAACGTAGTTCTTTTGTCTCTAAGTCGCCATCACCTTTATGCTTGTGACATAACTTAGTCATATTACGATGACAGATTCAGATGTTCTGCATAGGAATGAAAGGACCGAGGTTCTGCCAAGGACTGTTTGTCACCCGGGCAACGATTGTGAAGCAAGATCCGTTTTGTCCTTGAGGCAGACTGGAGAGCTGAGACCCTTCCGGTCTGAAAGTCTCCTAAGGCAGCCATGCAGCTCCTGGCCTTGGGGGAGAGGAGCTTTATTCTTTTACTGTCACGGACCTGCTGCCGCGTCACCTAGGGCACATCTAAGGATGAGTGGTCAGCAACGGCACGAGGCTTGGGGACATGGCTGTGTATGTCCCTGGGGACCGAAGAGGGAGAAGAGCTCTATTATTAATACGTCATCGGTCTCCAGCACACCAAAGTGGCTCCCTTTGCAGAACTGCATGGGAAAGTAATGCGGATAATCAGCTGCAACTCGTCAGCATCTGAAGATCGGAAAGTGCTTTAACAGAGTGTTTGGATTCTTTACGGCTGGTCTGTCTATTGAAATTCCATAAAGTGTGGCTCGTAGGGAGGTGCTAGATCACTCAATTAAAATAATGAAATGGGCCGGGCGCGGTGGCTCAAGCCTGTAATCCCAGCACTTTGGGAGGCCGAGGTGGGTGAATAATGAGGTCAAGAGATCGAGACCATCCTGGTCAACATGGAGAAACCCCGTCTCTACTAAAAAAATATAAAATATTAGCTGGGCGTGGTGGCGCATGCCTGTAATCCCAGCTGCTCAGGAGGCTGAGGCAGGAGAATTGCCTGAACCCAGGAGGTGGAGGTTGTGGTGAGCCGAGATCGCACCATTGCACTCCAGCCTGGGTAACAAGAGCAAAACTCCGCCTCAAAATAAATAAATAAATAAATGAAAATAAAATAAAATAATGAAATGTTAATTTAACTGCTTATGCAGTGATTTTCTTTTCTTTTTTATTGCTGATTGGCTTTTATATTTCAGCAGTTCACGAGGACATTAGAATAGCCCAAGAGCACTCATGTTTGCTGTGGACTCTCCGCAAATGTGTCACCAACCTTCACGGTCTCAGGTCAGCAGGACTGAGAAGGTCCCTCCAAGATGCTGCTCAGCTCCTGCTGGAAAGACCCTTTCCTGGTGGGAACCTAATGCACCCCAATGTTCCCTCATTAGATCTGGATTAATGGCAGCGTCAGAAAAAGGCTCACAAAGCTGACTGAGCAAAGAGAAACGTTGCTGGAGGAGAGTTTTATGAGGGAGACAGAGGTTTGTGCTCCCGCCGAGGCTCTGAGTCACTCTGATTTTGGGACCCTGACTCCCCTCTCCCAGGCACCAGGCACTGCAGACTTCGTGATTTCTGAATTCCAAAGAGAAAGGAAATCCTAAACTTCCGGCTTGAAGAGCGCTTGAGAGTAAAGCTGTGGACGGATGCAGGGAGGACGTACAGGTCAATGTGTTTTCCAGGTGTGGCCATCCAGTAACCTCACACGGACATGCTCAGGCCGGAGGTGTGTGTCACCCATGAGAAGAAGCACACAGCCACGCAGTGTGAAGCCCTGGGAGAGACACCGCCGAAGAAGTCAGCTTTCCACTTCTGTAACCACACTTCTTCCTCAGCGGGGCGGCGCGGGACGTGGGATGAGGGGGCTTGCTTCTCTGTTGTGGGGTGCTCACCCAGGAGCTGCTGATCTGTATTGGAGGCTCACCCAGGTGCCGCCGACATGCTGCAGTCCTGCTGGCCTAGGGGCCTGACACCTGACAGTGTCAGGGGGCCAAAAGTAGGAGGAATCTCAGCTGTGATTTTTTTCACATCTCTGGCTGGAGCTACTTCATTGAAGGTCATTAAGACTGGTCAGTTTTCGAGCTGTGATTGTCACCAGCACAGTCCCTGAGGGGCATTCGAGCCCTCAGAGGAAAACCCTTCAGAAGATGCAAATGCTTTCTATGTCGGCGTGAGCTCAGCATTTTCCAAAAACTTTGAAAACCTTGTTCATTCCGATGTCATTTATACCCATGGTATGTTCTGCAATTTCATAAGACATCAAGGTCAATTCCACCTCTTTTTTTCTTAAAAACTAATACATTTATTTGAGTCAAAGGTATTTTTTGTTTTTTTTTTTTTACTTCAAGTGTCAATATTGCTAAATGATCTCTTAGTGCCACCTACGAATTTCAAAATGTAACTTAAACTCTTAACAGACACACATTTGTTGTTTAACAAACCGTTTCAAGCAGGGTAACGTTCAGTCTGTAGGCACTTCTAAAAGGAGACGATTGTGTCAAGGAGTTTCATTCCATTAAAACTCCAGAAGGTCTCACCTCGCGGAATAACTTCATAAATTAGGTCAGAATGTGAAAGAAAAACCCAGTGAGAGGGAAAAAAGGTGACTACGAATGTGACTTCAAGGCAAATAAGTAGAAAATAAGAAAACAGCTGTCAGACTAGTAGGTGTACCTAACACAATGTATTTGGATTGGAGAGCCAACATTTAATGTGTGTTTTTGATTATTTTCAGGCAAATGACTACAGAGAATTATGTACCAAGTTATATAGCAAATTATATATTAAACCAGGTAAATCTTAAGGGTTCTTCCAATAACTTACATGAATAGTTCACCTTTTCCCTTCAGACTTGATTGCTTCTGCCCAGAACTGTTCATGGTGAAATTTCAGGCTGTACTGGGCAGGACGTGAGCTGCGTGGAAGAGGCTTAGTGCAGGATTGCCACTGTGAATGAAGGTGG